GCTTGTGTGTTCGTGTGTTCAGGTCTCCATATTCCGGAATATGTAAAATTAATGATCATTTTTTGAGTTTGACCACTTTGAGCCGTGTCTTTCTTGGCCGTTCAAGAATACAAAGAACTGAAATTTAATCTAACCTAAAGACCTCCAATATTGGAGAGAAAACCCAAAAATCACATAACACCGTATGAGCAAGCACTTGAAACTAACTTTTAGTTTCTTTCTGCTAACTTTTAGCAGAAACGTCCTTTTCTTGATGTCATTGGCTTCTATCTACTCATTTGCCCAGCTTGTTATCCCAGGAGGTTATCTGATCACCAGCAGGGTGTAGGTGTTGATTTTCCATTTAGTTGACTCCTCAGGACTTACCTCATCTCTACAGGTACTTGGTGGTTGCAGCTTTCCTAGCAGCCTCGTCATGGTTCCCGTTTGCCTTTGGGATACCCAGGTAATTGTAGGTGTCCTCAATGTCTGCAATGTTGCCTTCTGGTAGTTCAATCCCCTCAGTTCTGAGTACCTTCCCTCTCTTTGTTATCATCTGACTATATTTCTCCAATCCAGCTTTCTCCATACAGCTTAATGTCATCCATGTACAGGAGGTGGCTGACGACTGCGTCACTCCGTAGTCGGTATCCGTAGCCAGTCTTGTCAATGGTCTCACTGAGGGGGTTCAGGCCTAAGGAGAACAGCAGTGGGGACAGAGCATCTCCTTGGTAGATCCCACACTTGATGGTGACTTGTGCTACGGGCTTGAAGTTGGCCTCTAGTGTTGTCCGCCACATCTCAACTGAGTTCCTGATGAAGGCTCTTGGGGTCCTGTTGATCTTGTGAAGTTCTAGGGATTAAGGTTAGTAAGTCTGGTCTTGCAGTCTTGAGCAACTGTAGCTGGTGTTTCGTGCTTCTGGTGTTTCTGCCAATTCCTGTTGTTGCTCCTCTTATGTATTGAGCTATTTGCCTGGTCATCTTAGCTGCTCTGACGCCTGACAGAAGCTTCCAAGTGGTACTAAGCCAGGTTATTGGCTCACAATTGGATGGGACCAGTCTGTCCTGGGGATCCTCAGGGATCAAGACTATCCGGCTTCAGTTAGTCATTGCAGGTGTGTCTAATCCATTTGCAGTTAGCTTCCCTAACCAGCTGGTGTGAATCCTGTGAGGATCTGGTGGTGTCCAACTCTTCATGCTAGAGTCTCTACTGGATCTGGTTAGTGCAGAGCTCCCCCCCCCCGGCGCAGAGCCATTGCAGGGGGGACGTGGTATGAAAAGGGGAAAAATCCCAAAAAAAAACACTAGGACACTGTTAACACGGGGCACCAACACAAACGCAAAGCAGGAGATGAAGTATCGCTGAATATGTTTCCAAACCAACTTCATTCTAAGCCAAAGACTAGAAAATATGGTGAAGCAAATCTTCCCTTCGGCTTCACCTGCACAAGTGCCGAGGTAGGTCTCCCTGCAGAATTGGTTTTCCCTTCGTCTGGAGCAGCGCTGGGCTGTTCAAATCATGGACAAACAGTATACAACATTATTGATTTTTAGTTCACAAACACTTGTTGTAGTGACTAACTACTCCTGACATGTTGGAGATGTTTGCTCTTTATACAGTAAAGTTACAGTGGGATACAAATAATATCAGGCTGATCCTGCCACGATTTGTTCCCCCCGTCTAAATCACAGACAAACAGTATCCCAGTTTTTTATGTTTTTAAACCCATTTGGCACAGAGAGGCAATTTTTGAAAAATGTATTGATAGCAATGTTGAATATTATTACACAGGAAAACTACACGTAAAATAATCACACCGTGACGCCTCTGCCTTTGTAAATGGAGGGACAGTAACTGTGTGTGTACAGGGTGGGCCATTTATATGGATACAGCGTAATAACATGGGAATGGTTGGTGATATTGCGACTGTGGCTCAGGGGGTTGGGAAGCGTATCTGTAACCGGAAGGTCGCCAGTTCGATCCCCGGGCTCTCTGTCCTGGTCGTTGTGTCCTTGGGCAAGACACTTTAC